AAGACACACTTGAATTGGCCATGCTTGAGACCGCGAATCAGATGCCCGATGAAAGTCGCACAAGAACAGCCATGTTCTGCTACCTTACGAAGCGCCTGTCCACCGTACCGAACAAATAGGCAACAAACTACAAGGAGAAAGCAATGGTGCGAAAGCCAACAACCCCCACCACACCCACACACCCACCCCCCTACCACCAAAACACACACCACACCCCCCCACCACCCCCCCCCCACCCCCCCCCCCCACCCCCCCTCACCCCCCCCCCCCCACCCCCCCCCCCCCACCCCCCCCCCCCACCCCCCCCCCACCCCCCACCCCCCCCCCCCCCCCCCCCCACCCCCCCCCCCCCCCCCAACCACCCACCACCCCCCCCCCCCCCCCCCCCCACCCCCCCCCACCCCCCCCCCCCCCCCCCCCCCCCCCCCTCCCCCCCACCACACCCCACCCCACCACCCCCCCCCCCCCCCCCCACCCCCCCCCCCCCCCCACCCCCCCCCCCCCCCCCCCCCCCCCCCCCCCCCCCACCCCCCCCCCCCCCCCCCCCCCCCCACCCCCCCACCCCCCCCAAGAGATGTTAGTATGGGTATAACACAGTTAATAGAAGACATAAGTTCTCACGTCCACAGCAGCGCAGGTGACTACAGTCGGCAGCAATGTGTCAGGTGTGTCACAGTCGTTACAAGAGAAGACTTGGAAATGTCTTGGGTTAATGTGTGGGAAATGCTACTCACATAGAGATGGATACCCGAGGCTTGTGACCCACCAATAGCCGTGGATTTGATCGTTACACTTTCTACGCATGTGGAATCAGATACATCACCCGTAGTACGTTATATTATGTATCACAAAATAAGTTCAGTTTTGTCTTGATGCAGGTTAAAAGAACACTATATTTTAAATATAGTGTTGTGGCTGAAAATATGGCAAAGCTAGGCTACTCTGGTATACCTTAAGAGTATAACTGAGCTGCAGAGAAGGTTTTCTAATTGCATCGCATATCTAAATAGAAATAAGGCATACACCTCTGCAATACCAGCTTGTTCCAAGAGTTGATCCGTCACCGACACCATCACACGAATGACATACATAAAGGTATGTCTTGGATATACCTTTATGCTGGCGGCCGTGGGGAGAAGGCATCTGGATGGGTAAAATGGCAGGGCAGTCGCCTAAAGTACAAGAGGGAGGTGGCGTGGGGATAGCGGACCTCCCTTTCAAAGAAAGTGAGGGACCGGGCATCGAGTGCGTAAAACACCGTATGATCACTGCGGTGTGCAAGGGACACCAGTATGTCGGTAAGCACAGTGGGAGGAGATTCCTGAGTGATATTTGTGCATCAGGTGCCTTTGCCTCCTCAGGAGGGAACATCAGCTGGGAGTAAGGGAGCTAGGTCGGTTTATGACTTGCTCTGTGGCTTTTTCCACACATGTTTATATTCTTTTATCTTTTTTCTAAACCATGGATAGCACTATTTTCAAAAACATAGGGTTAGCTTGCTCTGTGTCACCCAGGCTGGAGTGCAGTGGGCGGCAGAAGATCACAGCCCATAGGCAGCCTTCAAGTGACGCCTCCTAGCTTAAACAATCTCACCCATACTTCGCCTCCGCAGAGTAGCTGGGACCTCAGGCATAGCATGCCGACTCACGCGGCGCTGGCTAATTTTGTATCGTGAGAGAGGGGTTTTCGCGGGGCCATGTATCCCGCAGACTGTCTTGAACTCCTGGGCTCAAGCAAATCTGCCTGCCTCAGTCTCCCAAAGTGCTTGGGATTACAGGAGTGAGCCATCCCACCCAGCCTTTTTGTTGTTGGTTTTTTGAGGTAGGATTTTGTTCTTGTTGCCCAGGTTGGAGTGCCATGGCGCAATCTCGGCTCACTGCAACCTCCACCTGCTGGGTTCAAGAGATTCTCCTGCCTCAACCTCCCTAGTAAGCTGGATTACAGGCATGAGCAACCACACCTTGCTAATTTTGTACTTCTAGTAGAGACGGGGTTTTCTCCATGTTGGTCAGGTGGTCTCAAACTTCTGACCTCAGGTAAGCCACCTGCCTCAACCTCCCAAAGTGCTGGGAGGCATGAGCCCACTGCGCCCTGGTCCCCAGCCTTTTTATTTTTTTTAATAAAAATATGGTGGGGAAAAAATAATAGCTTGCAATGTGATGATCGTTGATAACAGTTTGCAATGTGGACAATACGTTTTAAAACCTCTTCTAGCACTTTCTAGGACCCTGATAAGTGTTCACTTGTAGGGAGACCTCTGTCCTTAGAACCTAAACTCTCATTCTGGTTTCACAAAAGAACAAACTATCCAGTTGTACAAACTAGAATTGCAAGTTTCTCAGAGCCAGGTAAGGTATTGTGAAGTCCACTGGTCCCATGCCCGCACACACCCCAAGAAGGCTTGTGTGCTCAGAGGCAGAACCGTGCACCGAGAGCAGCTCACTGAGAGGGCTGCATCCCCAGGTCCCCAGCCTGGGCCAGTGCCCTCTTTCTCCAAGTCTGCTGTCTGGAAGCAGGTGCACCTGTGATCCGCGCTCTCGTCAGAACAAGCTTAGGGTAGAAAGCATGTGGGCAGACAGTCAGAACCTCTGCCAGCAGCCCGGGCAGAGGCAGCAATGTACGGTAATCAAGGCACACACGCTGACAGACCTTTCACTGTTTTAATTTTTTTTTAACTGAGGTGTCATAGGGGTTTAATAGTGAGGTATTTAATTGTATTTTTATATTTAAAAAAAATCCAAAACAAAGTGACAACAGGGACCTAATTCTTTGGACTTACGGTGGAGATGTCTGAGGATCCCAGTGTTCTATACCTGCTAACCTGTCAGGAAGGTCACAACATTCCCCACAAGCCATGAAAAATCAGCTAAGGAAAATCGAGCATGACTAAATCCTTGTCTGCACCAGGCTCCTGCCCCTCCACATGCTGTCTGAGCATGCACTTTTCTTTTGAAGGCCAATTTACGAGGCCTTCTGCCTGAGTCAGGGGTGTTGCTAATGGAAGATCTGATGAAATTCCTAGCAGAAAATACAGAACCTGCAAAATACAAAGAGCTCAGTTTCCTATGGCTTATAATCAAGGCAAACTATATAATAAGAGGTTGTATTTTCATCAGAGATGCAAAAGGTCAAAGCTTACGGCAAAAGACAAAGGAGGAGGTATGTATCTTAGACACAAGCTCGCGGTGCCTGTAAGTGGGGAATTCTCATGGCCAGCTGGTGACACACCACGTGTTGTTTTCCAGAAGTGGGTAGATGGCAGCTCTGCTGACCCAGCAACCACCTACACGATCTTCAGCATTTCAGGATCACTGGAGCTTGTTTAAAGGGAGTCTACATTGCTGAGTTTCCCACTGCTGCATCCCCCTTGGGAGCAGCCCTGGGTAAATGGCCGTACTGACAGCTGTGACTCAGGCACTGGTTCCCGGAGCTCTACAACCCAGGCCAGCACAGAGGCTGAGGCAGCTGTGACTCAGCCACTAGTTCCCGGTAGTCTGGAACTCAGGCTGGTTACTCACCACTGATTTATGGGATGGACCACTTATGTATTTATCAATCAAGTTCCCAAACTTAGGGCACCCAGTATCCCTCGCCTTGAAGTTAGCAAAAGAACCACAAATTTGCTTGTCTGCAGACAGATCTCCCAACTTCCCCATCTGATCATGACACAGATTGATTTAAAAAGCAGCTGAGAGGTTAGGTGCTGTGGCTCATGCCTGTAATCCCAGCACTTTTGGGAGACCAAGGCGGGTGGATCACCCGAGGTCAGGAGTTCGAGACCAGCCTGGCCAACGTGGCGAAAATCCATCTCTACTAAAAATACATAAAAAATTAGCCAGGCATGGTGGTGCGTGCCTGTAATCCCAGCTACTGGGGGGCTGAGGCAGGAGGATCACTTGAAACTGGGAGGTAGAGGTTACAGTGTGTCACTGCACTCCATCCTGGGCAACAGAGCGAGACGCCATCTCAAAAAAAAAAAAAAAAATGGAAGGAAAGAAAAGCAGCTGAGAGAACTGGGTGTGGAACCTTAATTACAAACACCTTCTGAGGACTCATGCCACCACCAAACCATGTTACCTCGAAGTCTCCCACGTCCATTTCCCCATTTTAAACAGTTCATGCTTTGAAATACAGAGCTCCCACGCCCTTGGAAGCTGTCCCTAGAAAGCGCTGAGATTCTCATCCAGATGCCTCTGTCCCTTACCCTTCAGAACAGACCATCAGGGCCACTTCTAACAAGGATGGCCCAAGTGAGGCTATATGAACCCAAGTGGGAGGAACCCCCTCCGCCACAGAGACAAGTTTCGCTCCCAACAAACGCTAATGCAAGCAGCATTCCCTAATCCCAGCAGAATTCCCTAATGCCAGCAGGGGGTCTGAAAGGTCTCAGCTGCTTAGGATTTCATTGGTAGAAATGAACAAAGCCTAAGATTCATTTACTAGCCGGGCGCGGTGGCTCATGCCTGTAATCCCAGCACTTTGGGAGGCCGAGGCGGGTGGATCACGAGGTCAAGAGATCGAGACCATCCTGGTCAACATGGTGAAACCCCGTCTCTACTAAAATACAAAAATTAGCTGGGCATGGCGGCGCGTGCCTGTAATCTCAGCTACTCAGGAGGCTGAGGCAGGAGAATTGCCTGAACCCAGGAGCCGGAAGTTGCGGTGAGCAGAGATCGTGGTCACTGCACTCCAGCCTGGGTAACAAGAGCGAAACTCCGTCTCAAAAAAAAAAAAAAAAAAAAGATTCATTTACTAATTTGACACGTAAGATTACTGGGAGAGATCCTGAGAGTGACCCTGTACGGCAAAAAAGGACATAAACATCTATTTCTGGGAGATATACCCATCAGTCAGGACATGGCTTCAGAGGGCATTTTCTTGGCACATCTGGGACTACCTGGTCATGACTTGTGTGGTACTCTATTGCAGTTAAACCGTGGGGGAGGGAAGAGGGACCACAGGCAGTGCCCTCCACCCAGAGAAATCCAGGTTCTGGCTCCAAGAAGGCTCAGGCGGCTCCTCACTCATCATCTGGGACTTCCCGGAGCCCTTCACTGTGGCGTGGCCGCCCACTGATCTCCAGCAGGGCCTGGGCCTCGGGGTCCGCGTCCAGGATGCTCTTGTTGCCCTTGGCCTTGAAAAGAGAAGAAAGGGTGGGTGTGTTCTGTGATGGCCCAACAACAGTCAGCGGCTTCCTGCTCGTTTTCCAGTCTTCTCGGCTCTGGTTCCCCCAAGGCCCCTCCCACTCTGGGATTCAATGGCTGGGTGGGTAGGAGGTGTTACAGGAGGGTCAGGGGCCAACAGCAACTCAGGTGTGGAACCAGGGAAGGAGAAGGAACCCCAGACCTTCCTCCTCTTGCAGACGGGCAGAGAGAATGAAGAGCCCTCTGGGCTCACGTTTGGGGATGCTCCCCTTCCCAGGGCGGCTCCACTAAACCACCCACGAACTAGCCATGCACCTCCCAGATGCAAGCCAGCACCAGCTGCCAGGATCAAATTTGGGATAAACGATCTGCAGACAGAAGAGTAAAAGGGGTAACAGCAATAAAATGCAGAAAGGCCCCCAGGCTCAAGCTGCCATCATGGGATGCAGAGGATGGCGCCACTCACCATCTGCGCCTCCGAGGGGTCTCCCACCGCCCACACCTCCATCTTATCAAACTGGAAGTTCTCCTGGGCCGACAGCTGCGGGCTGTTGTACGTGGTACACGTGGGCTTGGCTCTGCTGTGTCCTTTCCCGAAATCAACATCCACCCAAAGCCCAAAGTAATTGTGCTGCCCCCCCATGCCCTGTGAAGGAAGCCAGGACAGAGAACAGCATCAGCAACTCCTCAGGGTCTGCGACATCAGATACCACAAGCCAGCCTCTCGCCCTGAGTGCCAGCTGAGACAGGGCGGGTGAGTGGTGCATGCAATCATCTTGTTTTCCCTAACTAAAATATATCAATTGCTGCCATTTACGTATCCCATGCAAAGTCACTACAACAGTCATCCATGGCTCCAGACGCCCACCCCATGGCTCTTTCTCAAGAGGCTTTGCTGGCTGAAAGCCCAAGTGATGCCAGAGAATTAAACATATTAAATACATACATATACAGAAAGAGACCTCTAGGGCCCAGAGCCCTGCCCAGTTAAGATAAGGGGAGAGGCGGACACCGAAACGGACATGGCAAACCCCGTGTCAGGGCCCAGTGCTCCCACTTCTGGGCAGCAATCCTCATCCCAAGACAGCCTGGGAAACTCAGCTCCAAGTGTGTGGCTTACAGGATGCAGAGGCAGACCCAGAGGTGGACGCAAACCTCTGTGCCTTTCACGCCCAGTCACACACCTGGGCTCTGATTTTCTGAGCTGTTCAACCTTGCCCCACCCAGAACCTCCTCTGGTCCCTGGTAGGCCTGGAACACCCGGCACACCCTGGTTCTGACCTTGGGCAACAAAAGACCCAAGGACACTGTCCGAGTTGACACTCGGAGCTGCTCTGTCCCTTGGGGTCAATGACAAGTGATGACCAGGGCCTGCTGGGTGCTGTCTGTGAGGCTGGCACCCTCACCCCAGCCGCCACCAGACTGCCCTTTCCAGAAGGTGCCAGGTGTTCTAGGTGGTCCGGCCACACCCCTCCCTCTCCCAGGGTGGCGGGGCGTTGAGCCTGGGAAAGACACTGGTCCCTTTAGCGGACCAAGGGGGAACAGCCTTCTCTGCCCTCAGCTCTGTACACACAGAGCTGGATTTTCCCGGTAAGAGCTTTTCATCAAGCAGCAGAGGAAAGAAAGTGGCAGGGGAGCTGGCAGGAGCAAGCTGAGGCTCGGCGTGAATGCTCCCCCAGCTCTTGCCCTCGGCCCTGCCTGGACCGTGTTCACCCTGCTCCCTGCACCTGGCCTAGGCTTCCCCCGCTTCCCCTTCTTCCTGTAACAAGTCACCAAGCTGAAATGAGGGCTGGACAGGAGCCACAGTCACCCCCACTGGGGCCTTACATGCTGTCTCATGAGCTGCCAGCTGTCCAATCCCCAGTCCCATTCCCCACCGTCCAGCACTCCTAGGTATGAGGCAGGCCAGCGATGCCCCCAGACAGGTTATCCCTAGCCACAGAGGCCACAAACCAATCATCTGAGGGCCACAAAAATGGGCCAAGTGTGCCATCTGCACACAAACCACTGGGAAGCCCCAGCAGAGGCCACATCCTTCTGGAGACGGAAGGAAGTGTACATGGCGTGTGTGAAGAGCTGAATGCCATGCGCTCTGCCCTGATCTGTGGAGCTGAGCTTCAGGGTCAACAGCTTCATGGGGGGACATGACCAAGGCGAGACCACCATGCTCTGCCCAGCCTCACCAGTCCGTTTGGGATCGTCTGCTGTCCATGGTTCAAGTACATGTAGTGGTCGTTGTAGCCCGTGTGTGTGTACACGGCCATGCTGGGGCAGATGGAGAACAGGAAGCATCTGTTGTCCCCTGAAAGTGACCAGAGAGCAAAACAAACAGGATCGGTGTCCGAGTCGGGCCCAGAGAGCCAGAAATGCTGGTGAGCTGCGGCTCAGGAAGCAACGTGGCCAAGACCCCTCACCCATGTCCAGGTGTCAGCAGATCAGCGTTTAGGACGAGCTGCTGGGGACCCAGGTAGATGAACTGGGGGTGCAGGGATTAAAGGACAGCTAATAAGGAATGGGACATCTTTTAGCTCTGGCCAGGGGAGCAGAGATCAGAACTGCCCTTTCCAGAAGATGCCAGGTATTCTAGGTGGTCTGGCCACACCCCTTCCTCTCCCCAGGGTGTCTGCTGCAATCAGTTCAGGCTGGCCAAGCACATCCGAGCCAGAAAGAAACGGCTTCCTTTAGCTTATGAGCGAGAGGCAGGCGGTCACTCCACAGAGCCTGCCCCATCAGGCAGGGGACACTGCATAGGGCTGTCCCCAGCCTGAAAGAACGTACCATGCAGATAGAGAAAAGCTGCAAATGCAGAGCTGCCCCAGGGGGCACAGCCTGGGAAAGGTGGTTGTCTACCCTCGCCCGCATGTGTGGGGAACACACAGGCCCTTAAAAGACAAGTACCAGTCAAAACTCTGGAAACTATGGGGTCCCCAGTCTCAGAGACTCCTTCACTCCGTAAGTACCTCAGCACTAAGGAGAGGGCTGGAGGCCAGGCCTCACCCTCAGGGAGCTCCCAGCAGGGGGGCGCTTCCCTCCGAGTTTTGAGGACTTAGCCCCGAAGGGCTGCCTGCCTCGACACCAGCACAAACGTCACAACAAGCAGAAAAAGGTTGCAGAAAAACAAGCTCATGGGAATTTGGGGTTGGGCTATTCATCAAGTGGGAAAGAAGTCACAGGAAGCAAACTGGGGGCACAATGCAGGAACACAGATCAGAAGAGGGCACCGAGACCCGAAGGTCGGAAGAGGACGTCGGCCCGAACGAGCAAGTGGGGCCCGTAGAATGCAGGCTGACGACGCCCCCAGCCTCCAATCTAGACAGATCCCTGGGGAGCCTCTGCCATCAGGGTCGGGGAGGCTTCTGGGAGGCCACGTCGAAGGTCGAGAGGAGGCCCTGAAACAGAGCTGGCTGGCGCAAGAGCCCCATGGAGAAGGGATCCCATGAGGACAAGGTGCGGGACAGGGAGGGAACAGTGGGGCTTGAGAGCGTCAGGTGAAGGAAGGAGGGCCTTTAGGCTAGAAAGTTCCACCGGAACCGGGTAAGAGAAGGGCTTGACTCTGGGCTACAGACTCAGGCTTGCTTCACTGGGCTTCAGCAGCCCCAGTGGGTTGAGGGCAGGTTTAGACACCACTGTGAACGGCTCGGTCACACCTGACTGCATCGACCCCGCCCCACCCTCCCGCACTGGACTTCAGACAGGCGGCCTTTTGCTTTGTAATCCTAAGCCTGTCATACTTCGAAGCAAAGTCGCAGGGCCACTGAGTTTAGGCCTTGGCTGTGATGGATCCCGATGGCCCTGGGGGTGGAAGCATCATTCCCCAGGATACAGGACAACGACCTGAGGACTTAGGATTATGTGCAAAAAAAAAGTCACGCCCGAAGTAAGGGCCCGCAGTAAGGGCCCCTTATCTCATTCCCATAAAACGATACTCAGCCATGCCGCCCTCACCACCTGCTGCCTGCCCACACAGCATGGTTTTGTGTAATTCTGGTAACTGAGGCCCAGAAAATTAATCAGTCACCTTGCCCAGGGTCAGAGCTAGGACTCAAAACCCTGTGTTTAATTCAAAGCCTTGGGCCTTTTCAACTACCGCACAGAAAACACAAGCAAAAAGGTTCTAAGTATAATACATTCTTCTTTCCTCAAATAAAAATACTCTGATGAAAACAGTCCTTTAAAAATCTTTACAGCCGGGCGCGGTGGCTCAAGCCTGTAATCCCAGCACTTTGGGAGGCCGAGGCGGGTGGATCACGAGGTCAAGAGATCGAGACCAGCCTGGTCAACATGGTGAAACCCCGTCTCTACTAAAAATACAAAAAATTAGCTAGGCATGGTGGCGTGTGCCTGTAATCCCAGCTACTCAGGAGGCTGAGGCAGGAGAATTGCCTGAACCCAGGAGGCGGAGGTTGCGGTGAGCCGAGATCGTGCCATTGCACTCCAGCCTGGGTTAACAAGAGCGAAACTCCATCTCAAAAAAAAGAAAAAAAAAAATCTTTACAAAGCCAGATTGCCCTGCAGTGAACAGTCCTCTGTACTCAACGGTGGCGGGGTGGGGGGGCACCCTCCCCAGCATTTGCTTTCACTGTTTGCCCCACAGCAATTAAATCACTTAAAGTCTCAGACTTTACAGGTCACTATTTCCAGGACAAGCGGACAGCCCCTCTCTGAACTTGACCCAAAGGCCATGGATTTGCACCTGCGTGGTGTAAGGCTGCCCTCTGCTGTTATTTCATGAGTATGGACACAAATAACCTCAAGTTTGAAAACTTGGCCACTGTCTTTTTCCACAAGCTCAGGAAGATGAAGTCTGCTTGTTAATAAAACATGAAGAATCCATCTGAAATTAATATGAATCCATCTGAAATTAACATGAAAGGCCCTGAAGCTAGCGACAGCTTTAACTTGATCATGATGCTCAGGGTTTTTCCATATCCTACAGCTGAGCCTTCGGCCATGCAACAAGGCAAAGCAATGTGTCATTTCCTGGAGCCTGAGGCTGGGCTGGTGGGCACACGCCCCATGCCCATGACACGGAGGCAGGGAGAGCTGGGTGTGTAGAAGACAGTGGCCGTGGCAAGGCTGAGGCTGCTGTCTCTAAAAAGGCCCACTGCAGGGCTGGCCCTGGACTGGCACCCGGAAACTTTGATTTGGAGAAGGTTCCCAACATTTCCAGAACTAAGAAAAAGACCTAGAACATCCTGAAACCTAAAAATAAATCAAACCCTAGAAACAATGGGATCTAGGAGACAGAGGCACCCAACCCCTACCTGATAATCCGTCCTCTCTGTCCCAGCCAGATGCCACCAGCCTTTGCTAAAAGCTCTCCCGCAGTGGCACTGACACCTGGACACAGTTCCTGGCCTCCAGAACCTCTGCCTGGTAGAGAGATGATGACGATTCCAGAGGTGTGGGATAAGACACAGGATGTATGGGGGGATGTTGAAGGCAAACCCTGGGGATGGTGGCCCACCCTCGAGTACAGAGGACAGCCCACTGATGGGCGGTGCATCTCAACACTTCAAAAACTTATGATTTATTTATTTAGAGACAGAGTCTTGCTCTGTTGCCTAGGCTGGAGTGCAGTGGCACCATCCAGGCTTACTGCAACCTCCATCTCCCAGGTTCAAGCGATTCTCATGCCTCAGCCACCCAAGTAGCTGGGATTACAGGCATGCACCACCATGTCCAACTAATTTTTGTACTTTCAGTAGAAATGGAGTTTCACCACACTGGCCAGGCTGGTCTCAAACACCTGACCTCAAGTGATCCACCTGACTTGCCCTCCCAAAGTGCTGTGATCACAGGCTTGAGCCATGGCACCCAATCTTATTATTTTATTTTTTTTAAAGACAGAGATGAGGTCTCACTATGTTGCCCATGCTAGTCTCAAACTCCTGGGCCCGAGTGATCCCCCAGCCTTGGCCTCCCAAAATGCTAGGATTCCAGATGTGAGCCACTGTGCCTGGCCTATGTTTATAAATGTTTTTCAAGGATATTTTCATCAGAGTATCCTTCCTTGAGCGAAGAAGAATTTACTTAGAGCCTTTTATCCAGTGCATTCAAGATCATGCAGAAAGCTTCCAAATTCCAACCAGCAAACACCCGTTGGGACAGGGGCAGGGGCAAGGGCGAGGGCCGGAAGGCCCAGGGAAAGAAAATGTCTGATCTGAACAAATCAGCATCTCCTGGACCCTTCCCGGCAAGTCATCTGTGGCTTGACTTCTCCCACCCCCTATAGACCTGGTGCCGTGTAATAACTGGGCCTTGTGTTCTCACTTGAAAACTGGGAGTCACAAGGCCTGTCCTGAAGAACCGTGATGTCATAAACACCACAAAGAAGCATCACATTTCCCCATCACCCTGACTGTGTCTAGAGAAACACTTGGAGAGGATGGGAGAACTCTATTTAGCATCCACCCTCTGCCTTTCTCCAAAGCTCTTTGCCCATGCTGTGCCACCCCTCGAGGTTCAGGTCACCAAGTCTTACCTTGAAACTGAGGCTTAACCTCCCAGGAGCAGGAGGCAAATCCACCGAACACGTGCTTGTCATGGTCCTCGAGGACGGCCACACAGGGCCCCCGGTGAGCGATGTGGCCACAGAGCTGGGAAAAGCTGTGTCCGTGGAGCTCGGATGAAAAAAGCAGGCGCCAGCGGTGCTGCTGCTCCCGAGGCAGGTGGGCATTGATGTATACGACAGAGAGGACGTCCAGGATGCTCTCAAAATGCCTGCCCTGGTCCACTTGACGCTCAGGAATCAGGGTAGTCAGATCAAGGGATGAGCTCAGGATGAGAAGACCCTTGCGAATGACCACACTCAGAAATGTGGCCACGTGGGGGACCCTGAACACCCAGTCCTCGATCACAGCTCGGTCACAGTCACAGTCCAGCCACTGGGGCCCCAGAAGCCTCTCGCCATCTAGGGGAAGGGGACAGTCAGCATGAGCGGGGCTGTTTCCGTACAGATACTATCTACACCCTCACTGACCAACGTGGGAGCCGCAAGCCACGCCCAACTACTGAGCACAGAAAATGGGGCTCGTTTGAATTGAGATGTGCTGTAAGTGTAGAAGGGTCACCTGATTTCAAAGACTTGGTATGAAAAGAGAACGTAAAATAATCTCCATGTTTAAAAATTCATTACCTTTCAAATTGTATTTAGGACACATTAGACCCCGTTGTCCCTGTTTCTTTTTACTCTTTTAATGTGGTCCCCAGAAAAATGAAAATTTCACACGAGACTTGCTTTCTCTATTGACCAGCACTGATCTCAACAATCTGACTTCAGCATTTTTCTCTGTTCTCCAAGCAGCATTTCAGAGGCCCTTGAGAGGGCAGTGCCCTGGCAATGGGGCTGGAATGGACACCTGAGCTATCCCTGGGGCTGCTCATCGGCGGGTGTCTGTCCTGCCGAGGCCATTGGAAGGGCACTGTTCCCAGCAAGTCAGGGGGCTGGCAGGCCACTTACTGGGACTCCTGTAGCTTATCTGGGAAGAACAGGTTTCATTCACCGCTAACCACGCTTCCTCATGCAGCACTTGGAGCCTATTTTCCACTCCTCACTCACTAAGAGTGGGGGTGACGGGTAAGAGCGTAGAAGCACGCAGCCAGGATTCCAGCAGCCCAGATCCACACCCAGGCTCAGGAACGGCATGATCTTGGCAAGGTCTTCGCCTCTCCGTGCCTCAGTTTCCTCAGGTGTAAAATGGAGGTAGGCCCAGAACCTGCCCCACGTTGTTATTCTAAGGACCAGAGGAGCTTTTCCATTTTCGGCTCTTGAGGACACAAGGTCTCTATTTACAGCTATCAGAATTCCCAACCTAGGGGAAATCTGAATCTAAGCTGAAATAACATTTTGTCTAACCTAAGCCCACTTTATTAAGCAGGAAAGGTAAAACTACTACCCAACTGACATTTTGAAATTCCTATTGTTTCTATTGATTTTTCAGACAGTTTCATTTTTCATTACCTACAAACTACTTGAAATCTTAAGGATAATTTTAATCATCTGAATTAACTTTCTTTAACAACAACTTCAATTTTTATTTTCATTATTCTTCTTTAAAGCATACTAGACAGATGAACAGTTTACCTATAGATGATTTACTGATAACTTACTTCTAAAATTCCAAGTTCCAAATACCTCGTCTAAATTAATTTCTGAAATATAACGTATTTTCAAGCTGTACTTTAAAATCTGGCTCTAAAACAAAAGAGTAACACATTTATAAAGTAAGTCTGCTTTGCAAAGTGATTTGCCATAAGGTTTTTTTTAATCCCAAGTAAATTTAAATATATATTGCTTCTCACCCACCAACAGCAGACTACACATTCTTCTCAAATGTGCTTTAAGCATTATCCAGAAGTGACCATATTAGAGGCCACGTGATGCATCAAGAAATTTTAAATGACTGAAATCATACATCATGAAATGAAATTAAAAATCAATACTACCAGGCAATTTGAGGAATTCACAGGCATGGAGAAATTAAATAACACACTTTTACACAGCCAATAGGCCAAAGGAAAAAATCCTAAGGGATGTCAGAAAATATTGAGACCAATGAAAATAAAAACATAACCTACCAAAACTTATGGCATGCAGCTAAGGCAGCGCTGAAAGGGAAATGTGCAGCTGCAAACGCTTATTTGAAAAAGAAGATCTCAAATCAATAACCTAACAGTCTACCTTAAGAAGCTACAAAAACACCAAACAAATTTAAAGCGAACAGAAGGAAGAAAATCAAAGCTAGGGCAAAATAAACCAGAAACTAGAAAGACAACAGAAAATGTAATGAAACTAAACACTGGCTCCTCAGAAAGAACCAACAAAAATATGAAAAACTTTCAGCCAAACTAAGAGGAAAAAGGGACAAGACACGAATTATTCAAATCAGTAACGGAAGTGGGGACATCACTACTGCTTTTGGGAAAATAAGGAGAATTGTTTAAAAACATGGCAACAAAGTAGAAAAGCTAGAAGGAGGTTCGAGGGCTCACGGCTTCTGGCTTCAAAGCTTTACTACACAGCTACAGGAACAGAGACAGCGGGTACCACCCCACGGCAAAGGCTGAAGCCACCGAATCCACCACCCACACTTGCCTTGCAGCTTCATCTCAGAGAGCAGCTGAGCAGCCAGCACCTGCACCCGTGGGGAGGGCCCTGGGGCTTCCTTCCCAGTCCAGCCTCTCAGCTCCTGTCTGTGGCTTAGCACGTGCACCACAGAGCCAAGCAGATCCTCTGTGAACTTAAGATCACATTTTACCATTAAAAACAGTTTCACCGTAACCTGAGACCTATGTCATGTGCCCGTGGAGAAGGGCAGTTTTCTTTAATGCCAACTATGATGAACCACAGTGTGGGGAGAGGTCATGCAATGTGAGTAGCTATTCGGTTTTCTTTTCTGGTTTTTATTTATTTTATTTATTTATTTTTGAGATGGAGTCTTGCTCTGTCACCCAGGCTGGAGTGCAGTGGCATGATCTCGGCTCACTGCAACCTCCACCTCCCAGGTTCAAGCAATTTCCTGCCTCAGCTTCCTAAGTAGCTGGGATTATAGGTGCCCGCTACCACACAGGGCTATTTTTTTGTATTTTCAGTAGAGATGGGCTTTCACCATCTTGGCCAGGCTGGTCTTCAACTACTGACCCTATGATATACCTACCTCAACCTCCCAGAGTGCTGAGATTACAGGTGTGAGCCACTGCACCCAGCCGCTACTAATTTTTCTAATGATACGCTTGGCTGGCCTAGAAGTTTTTCCAAGGCCTTCATCCAGGAGTTCTGACTTCAGCCCAACAGCACTGGGTTTTAGGGCTCGCTGAGGATGGGCACCTCCACAATGCCTGCTGTCTTCACTGCTCAAACCAACAGGGCGATTTGCTGAGGCCCAGGAGCTCCCTGCTCCAGAAAATCCCTGATCTTCTCAAAGTTGGTTGAGAGCTAAGGTTTATTTTGCTATACGACTTTTTTCTGCAGTTTTACTTGCTTCCAACAAGGAAGGCAACTTGTCCTTCTCCCTGAGGACCGAGGGCAGGCCACTGCTTTCTGGAGCTGGGGCTGGCTTCCAGCAGGGAGGGAGAGTTTGAGATTCTCCGGCTTCTAAGATGGCAGAGGGCAGTCTCCAGCCTGGGCCCCACTCCTAGGAAAGTGGTTGAATTGAGGTTTTGTCTTAAAAATTCTCCTTGACGACTAAAACTTCAGATTACCAACCAACTAGTCTTACCTTCTCCTTACCATTACGGCGCTCAGAAACCGTGCCAACTGCGTGAGCGTTTGTTTCTTGTGCTGTTTTGTTTATTTGCGGTTTATCTTTTTGTCGTTTCTGTCTCTTTCCCATTTGGTTTGACCAACTCTACCTGACTTGGGCAAATACAAGGCAAAGTTCCAAATCACGGGGCGGGGCGGGGCGGGGCGGGGGTGCGCGGCGGGCAGGCTCTGAATTGGCTAAATCCCCACAGCTGGGAAAAAGAGAGAGAGGCAATAACAAGGCCACCAAAAGGAAAAAAGAGGATGACAAGCCGGGCGCGGTGGCTCAAGCCTGTAATCCCAGCACTTTGGGAGGCCGAGGTGGGTGGATCACGAGGTCAAGAGATCAAGACCATCCTGGTCAACATGGTGAAACCCCGTCTCTACTAAAAATACAAAATATTAGCTGGGCATGGTGGCGCGTGCCTGTAATCCCAGCTACTCAGGAGGCTGAGGCAGGAGAATTGCCTGAACCCAGGAGGCGGAGGTTGCGGTGAGCCGAGATCGTGCCATCGCACTCCAGCCTGGGTAACAAGAGCGAAACTCCATCTCAAAAAAAAAAAAAAAAAAAAAGAGGATGACTACCTGAGGGACTTGATTTCCATAACCTTTGGTAGCCAAGCCCGAACAGAAAGGCCCGTGGCAGCTGCCCCCTGCTGTTGCTCAGTGGCTACGTTTCTGCTTTTTCACCACAACAGCCGGAGTTTGGTTCTTACATCAAATTCTGTCTAGTTTTGATGTTTGTGTTACTTTTGAAATATGAGTCATTTGTCCCAGGTAAAATACGACAGTGAGAGATTGAAAATGATGCTTTTAAGAGCTCAATGGTTAAAGTCAGCTTAATTAAAAGCTGGCATCTAACATATGTTTATGTGTATTTATATTTAAAGGGACATCATGCTTTCTTCTCTCCTTGGGTCTTGTTTTTTGAGAAAAAAAATACTTGCTTCCCTCTCAGTCAACTGAGTTTTCTCCACTCACTTCTGCAGACCTCTCATTCCCCTGGCCACCCTCCACTGTATGAAGGACCTAAAATAACTTCTAACAGCCTGGCATTCCTTAAAGAAAACAGAGAAGGTGTCAGACTCCTTTATTCTTTTCTTTTCTTTTTTGAGATGGAGTTTTGCTCTTGTTGCCCAAGCTGGAGTGCAATGTGTGATCTCAGCTCACTGCAACCTCCGCCTCCCAGGTTCCAGCGATTATCTTGCCTCAGCCTCCCAAGTAGCTGGGATTACAGGCATGTACCACCACACCCAGCTAATTTTTTTATTTTTAGTAGAAACGGGGTTTCACCATTTTAGCCTGGCTGGTCTCGAACTCCTGGCCTCAGATGATCCACCCACCTCAAGTACTAGGCTTGCAGGTGTGAGTCACTGCACCTGGCCCCAGACTCCTTTTTGAGAGAAATTTGTTTTTCTTTATGGAAACCGGAAAGTATCAATAGACCAGTTCCTCTCAGATCTTAAACTGCTTGCTTTTGTACTCTGTTACCTGATTTTTCTTTTGGTCTAAAATAGTTATTACTACTTGGGCTACTCTTTAATAAAACCAAAAGTTGGTTTATTGAAAACGTCAACAAAAATCTGAAAAACCTTTAGCTAGACTAAAAGAAAAAAAGATGACTGAAATTATTCAAATCAGAAATGGAAGTGGGGGGCTGGGCACAGTGGTTCACTTTAGGAGGCCAAGGCAGGTGGATCACTTGAGGTCAGGAGTTCAAGACCAGCCTGGCCAATGTGCTGAAAGCCTGTCTCTCCTAAAAATACAAATATTAACTTTAGGAGGCCAAGGTGGGAGGATAGCTTGAGGTCAGGAGATTGCGACTAGCCTGGCCAACTTGAGAACCCATCTCTACTAAAAGTACAAAAATTAGCCAGGTGTGATGGTGTGCAACTGTAATCCCACCTACTTGGGATGCTGAAGCAGGAGAATTGTTTGAGCCTGGGAGGTGGAAGTTGCAGTAAGTAGGTATCACTGTACTCCGGCCTGGGCAACAGAGTGAGATCCTCTCTTAAAAATATATATATATATAAATCAATTAATTAATTATATACAGAAATTAGCCAGGCATGGTGGTGGGCAACTGTAATCCCAGCTACTCAGGAGGCTAGGGCAGGAGAATCACTTGAACCCGGGAGACAGAGGTTGCAGTGAGCCAAGATTGTGCCACTACACTCCTTCCTGGGTAACAGAGTAAGACTCTGTCTCAAAAACAAAAACAAAACAAAACAAAAGAAAAAAGAAAGAAAGAAAAGAAAGGTGGGGGGCAGGGGCAGTGGTTCACACCAGTAATCCTAACACTTTGGGAGGCCAAGGCAGATGGACTGCCTGAGCTCAGGAGTTCAAGACCAGCGTGGCCAACATGATGAAACCTCGTCTCTAATACAAATACAAAAAATTAGCCGGGTGTGGAGGCACACACCTGCAGTCCCAGCTACTCAAGAGGCTGAGGCAGGAGAATAGCTTGACCCAGGGAGGTGGAGGCTGCAGATCACACCACTGCACTCCACCCTGGGCGACAGAGCAAAGCTCTGTCGTCTCCAAAAAAAAAAAAAAGAAAGAAAGAAAAGAAAAAGAAATTGAAGTGGGGACATCATTACTGCCTTTGGGAAAATAAGGACTATTTTTATTTTTAAATAAACCAACAAACTGCATAATAGAAGAAGGTTCGTGGGCTCACCCTTTGTGGTTTCAAAGCCTAACTACACAGCCACAGTAATGGAGACGGCCGGTGCCACGCTACCGCACGGAGTCTCAATCACCGAGTCCACACATACCTGCCTTACAGCTGCATCTCAGAGAGCAGCTGGACAGCCAGCACCTGGCAAGTTTAAGATAAAAAGGGTGCATCTTGAATACTTAAATGTCTTCATTGCAAAATGTACTGCAAACGCATTACGGGGCCCAGTCCTTTGATCTCTCTTTCTGGAGACCGAGGATTCAATGTGGGCTCCTCCCAGAGTTCCGAGGCCCAGTTAAAAGATAGGGACTAAACTGAAAACCACCTATCTAAATAAAATTGCTCTCCTTATAAAATCCTATGGTAGATTTCTATAATTTTACGTTTGGTTTGGCATCCATTTTAAGTATCCTTCTAACACACTGACACATACTATCTTTCTCTACTTTGAGATATAAATTTCACTATCCGACTTTCACCTGAGTTGTTCCTTTAATGTGCAAATTTAGGGCTATCTAGCTGACAGCCTGGAGTCATGACGCAGGTTATCAAGACATTGGAAGTTTCAAATAGAAAAAAAATAAAAGGGGTCCTTGTAAATATGTAAGATCTACTTCTGTGTATCTAATACATTTATATGCTGTATATACAATGTCCCACTACCAAAAATACAATGAGCTCTAATTAATTGGCTTAAAGAAAAAGAGAAAAACACTTAAATACTTTATCAGAAAAATAGAAACTTTAAGCCCAAATGCCTTTTCAAGTTCACATGACTTCAGTGAATTTTTTTTTTTTTTGAAAGCAAGTGTCATTCTTGTTGCCCAGACTGGAGTACAATGGCACGATCTCGGTTCACTACAACTGCCACCTCCCATGTTCAAGCAATTCCCCTGCCTCAGCCTCCTGCGTAGCTGGGATTACAGGTGTGTGCCACCAAACCCAGCTAATTTTCATAGTTTTAATAGAGACAGGGTTCCACCATGTTGGCCAGGCTGGTCTCGAACTCCTGGCCTCAGGTGATCCACCTGCCTCGACTTCCCAAAGCATTGGGATTACAGGTGTGACCCATCACATCCGGCCATAATTTCAGTGAATCTTACTAAGTTGGTTTTTAAATTATTGGTAAAATAAAATAAGAAATGTCTTTAGAATAGCCAACATATTGTTTACATTTGTTGGTCACGCAGTTTTATACTTATCTTGCTAGACATTATAACATGTCAAAATTTGGCATGAAGGTTATAAAGCTATAAATGCAGCCCAAAAGAGAATTATCGTTGTGTAATTTTTTAATAAATAAGGCATTTAATATTGTTGGTTTAATGAAAATAACTAAATCCTCACTTATTGGCAAAATAAAGCATGTACATTTATTTAACCTTAAGGTTATTACTTAGACAAACAACTGAAATTCACAGGCTATAAAAATGGTTAACAGGTCATTTCCTTGGGAGGTAAAATAAAACAAAATGGTTAACAGGGAAATAACCGTAAATGATGACTATCATCATTTTCATAAGCACTCTAGGTAAACTATTTTTTAAAATCAGGTAAATGGAATGAATGCTTGTAAACAAACTTGTCATATAATTTAGAGTCTAAACTTACATCGAATAAAATAATATTCATTAATGTTGGTCATTTCTAAATCTTTTGAAGAAATTATTCAAAAACTTTTTTCTAAAAAATGTGTTCTTGGCCACGTGCAGTGGCTCACACCTGTAATCCCAGCACTTTGGGAGGCCAAGGCAGGTAGATCACCTGAGGTCAGGAGTTTGAGGCCAGCCTGGCCAACACGGCAAAACCCCGCCTCTACTAAAAATACAAAAATTAGCTGGGCATGGTGGCATGTAGTCCCAGCTACTCAGGGGGCTGAATTGCTTGCACCTGGGAGACAGGTTGCAGTGAGCTTAGATCGCACTATTGCACTCCATCCTGGGCAGCAGGAGTGAAACTCTGTCTCAAAAACAAAAGTCGTCTTTAAGAAAAATAATTTTAATCTAATTCAAAGGTTATTTATGAAATAAGGTGAAAGGAATCAGTAAGTAAGAGACGTAAAGAAAGTTGAAGTTATAGTTCTTACAGTTCTATAAAGAGGTACTCTTGGTAAGAAAAGTTAAATCATTTTATATGGGAAAGAATCCTGTATGGTAAATTTTTTTGTCCTCGAATAACATGACTGTTTATTTAAGAAAGTGAAATGTGAAGGATAAAACAGGAAGTTCAAGCCTGTCATCCATTTTTGGTGTAAGTCATAAGGTTTGTATAAAGATAACATGGCCGGGCACAGTGGCACACACCTGTAATTCCAGCACTTTGTGAGGCTGAGGCGGGAGGATCACCTAAGGCCAGGAGTCTGAGACTAACTTGGCCAACATGATGAAATCCCATCTCTACTAAAAATATAAAAATTCTCTGGGCATGGTGGTACATGCCTGTGGTCCCAGCTACTTGGGAGGCTGAGGCAGGACAATCTCTTCAACGTGGAAGGCAGAAGTTGCAGTGAGCTGAGATCACGCCACTGCACTCCAGCCTGGGCGACAGATCAAGACTGAAGCCTCAAATTTTTTCCGGGCTATAAGTCTTCAAAATAACATTCCGTTTTTTTCCTTTTTTCTCTTCCTTTCTCCCGCTCATTGTTCCAAATGGAAATCACTGACAATTAAGCTGTGCTCTTCCTAAAGCCCTGAGAACTAAAGCTGGACAACTTAGACTTTGAAATGACAACAACCTATTTACATACATCACCATTCCCACACCTGCCTACTGATATGCAGACTTCAGAGTAATAATGGCCTGTATCTGTTTTCCGGTACTGTCTTCCCCTTTTTGTTTTTTGGGTTGTTTTTCTCTCTTCCTCCCCCCCCCACCCCCACTACTTTTTCTTCATGGGACATTAGACTGCACAGCCTGCTTTTGAGCTTCCCTAACAACGTGGGCCCTATCTGACTAGGAATAAACCATTCTGGCCATGACAGGTCAGACAGGCCCTGACGCTCATTTCCTCTAAAATGCTTTCTCCCAAAGATTTGTCAAAGACAAAGGGGAAAAAATGTGAAAGAAAAATAAAAACTCAGGACTCCATTCACTCTGCCACAAGGAAAAATTACACTAAAAGCTGAGTCATGCAAGAAATTGCCTTTTCTTTTATTCCTAAGTAGAGAGCTACAGATAAATGGTTTAAAATCTCCACAGCTGGCCGGTGCAGTGGCTCACACCTGTAATCCCAGCACTTTGGGAGGCTGAGGCAGGCAGATCACCTGAGCTCAGGAGTTTGGGACCAGCCTGGCCAACGTGGTGAAACCCCTCCTCTACTAAAAATCAAAAAATCAGGAGGGTCGTGGTGGTGCATGCCTGTAGTCCCAGCTACTCAGGCGGCTGAGGCAGGAGAATTGCTTAAACCCCAGAGGCAGAAGCTGCAGTGAGCCAATATCACCTCACTCCATTCTAGCCTGGAAGACAGATCAAAACTCCAGCTCAAAAAATTAACAAATAAATCAATAAATAAAACAAAATCTCCACAGGTAATGACTATGCTCACCTGATCGTATGTCAAGTGCCGATTTACTGAGCACAAGACAGATACATATTGACTACTCCCTGCCTGCTCCCTTCCTCTTGCAAAATGTGGATTCGGTCATGGGACCAGACCCTCCCTCTTTCCCCTGCAGCCTGCTTTTCTCTTTAAATCCTGAAGCGCTCAAAATCATCTTTAGAGAAAGGCACAGACCTCACTCCCAGACATGCCCTCAATCTTGGCACAACAAACTTCAATCGACTGAGACCCATCTCAGATACCTATTGGTTTACTCCTCCATCTGCTGTGTAACTGGCCTCTACCCCCGACCTATGGTTCCCAAGACTGCTGAGGAGGCTGCAAAGGGCCTCGCGGTCTCACTACCTTTTGGACTTCTCTAGCCTTCACGGGACCTTCTGCGGCAGAAATCATTTTCACAATCATGAGACTCTTCTCGTCGGAGCTTCCTTTCAACAGGTGGGACATGGATGCTGTGAACTGCTCCTGGGACACGTTCTCACTGGGTCCCTTCGTCTTCCCCGTCAGGTCAACCCTCCGCATGCCATCATACAACCTGGTGACCATCTCCGAGGGAAGAGCTTCCCCGACGTGGTTCTGTTAGGGACAAGCAGAAAAAAATGGTTAGATAGCACATGAGGTGAACTTGGTAGTGTTGTGGAAGTTATCAAGAAATTATTTTAGGCAGAAAGAGAGGAAAAGGGAGGGGTCCTTGGGAAATTTTCATCTTTTAAAGAAAAAGTTTCTTATAAAGCCCCTGCTCTTAGAGCCAGGCCAGCAACCTTTGATATGCAAATGTAGGCCATCAGAAACTGGGTCCACTTAACATAGTACTTCCCTTCTTGCCCTTTCCCCACGTTCCTGACAACATGGCCACCCCCACATATCCCCACATGTGTAGAACATCGACGGTACCCTGCATTTGCATATCAAAAGGCTAGGGTGGGACGGTCAGCTTTTTCGTGGCTACCTGAATGACATACCTAGTGAAACCAATGCCCTGAGCCCTATGCAAATCAGACAGCTCCTCCAGCCTCTGCATATAAACCTGGCTGATGTCTACCATACTTGGGGACCTCTTCTTTTGGCTTTGGAGTCCCCCCTCTCTGTACGGGGGAGCCTCTTCCTTCCTTCTTGCCTGTTAAACTCTCTGCTCCTTGAAACGACTCCACGTGCGTTCATATCGTTTCATCTAAATCGGCGTGAGGAAGGAGAACGCTGGTGTTCCTCCAGTCACCAGAGCCGTCGCAGTAGTGTCCCAGGAAAGTAAGCAGGGGGCCAAGACCAACCTCGGCCACTTCACAATGCCACCGACACTGGAAATGCTCCTGCATCTCCAGGGCAGTGTGCTGTCACCTAAGAGCCTCACACCACCCAAGCATCCTGGGTGCGGCTCACCTTGGCCATCAGACCCTCCACAGTCTGCTCCCATCCTGCCTCCAAACTCTCCGCCTCCTCATTCCTGCCTCTGGCCACCGTCTGATCTTCACTCTGCTCTGAACGTCATCTTCATTCTAGATTCTAGCAGGTGCTGTTTGCATGTCTGAATTTATTAACATATGTAACATATGGCTGTGCGTAGCTAATCTGGTCTCTATATTAGGGGTTTCCAAATATATCAGCTTTTACTTCCTATCCATGTCCCTTGGGCTCAATATGCATTTTTCATTCATTCTTATTTCAGTTTTAAATTTAGTTTGTTGGGGGTTTTTTGAGACAGGGTCTCCTCTGTCACCCAGGATGGAGTGCGGTGGCTCAATCACAGCTCACTGCAGCCTAGGCCTCAGAGGCTCAATGGATCTGCCTACCTCAGCCTCCTGAGTGGCTGAGATGACAGGCGCATGCCACCACACTCAGCTAATTTTTGTATTTTTTTGTAGAGATAGGGTCTTGCTGTATTGCCTGGGCTAGTCTCAAACTCCTGGGCTCCAGTGATCCTCCTGCCTTGGCTTCCCAAAGTGCTGGGATTACAGGTGTGAGCCACTGTACCCAGCCTATTTAATTCTTAATGCCTGGATGAAAACATCATTTTCCTTTTTGGCTCCAGCATCAAATCTGCTTTGGTCATGGATTGACAATGAAATGGAAAGAGCGAGCAAATCACAAACCGATCACATCCTGCACAGCAGGGTCTGCGAGCTCGGCTCTCCCGTAACAAACAGATGTGTGGACACTGCTTGTCCCAGCATCGGCATTCAGCAGCACTTGTAAGGCAGGCTTCCGCCCTCTCCACTCAAAAACAGCACCCCTATTTTGGTCAATGTCTGCAAAGTTCTACCGGAAAAGCATTCTCTCATCCTTTCCCAAAGGAAACTTCATTCCATCACCAAGGTCTTCTGAGGAACTCTTTGCCGTATTTATCGGGACATTACCACCCGCTCTACAGTCAAGTCTGAAATGGGCCTGGCTGGTTCTGCTCGTTCCCACAGGCCTACTGGGGCGCTTCTGATCTAGTGGAGCCGCACACACAAATGCACACACGTGCACAACACATGCACACACAACCACACGGCTGTGACCCAGATAACCTCCCTGGCCAGTTTCCTCATCTGCTCGCACTCTGCACATTCTCCAAGAGGAAGCAGGCTGCTAGGATGGCTGCCTGGACTGCCAGGAGGGTGAGCTGACGGCATCTCCTTGTCAGTGTCTTGCCTCAGTCTGAGCACTCAAACCTGCAGTTTAGAGTCCCAGGCAACGGGGCAACGTACGGACAAATGGGCAGTTTCAACTCCCTGCAACATGAACACTGAGTCTGAAATGTCATTGTTAGAAATTTGACAAAATTCCTAGACGTCGAGGACATACACATTCTAGAGGCAAAGGGGCACCTGACACATCATGGTTCCTGGACCTCCGAGTCTACGAGGGCAGACCCATCTCTGTCTCCCCATCTCTGCAAGGGCACTTAGGAGAGACGAGGTTAAAGACACACAGGAAGCAGGCTATCTCCTCTGATGTTAATCTCAAGTCAGAAATGTCCCCAAAACGGCGTGTAAATCATTATCTACTCCAGTTTCCTTTTGTACAGATAAGAGACTATAGATTTCAACAAGGCAGAGGGATGTGTTTAGACACTGTCTACAGCCATTTCACACAGATATGGCAGAGCAGAGGCCACATCGCTCACAAAGACAAAACTAGGTCAAATCTGGCCCTTTACAGAAAACCAACTTTTTAGTGTTGCCATCCACTGCATTACAAAAGCAAGAAAGCAGATTCTGGCCTGAGGACCACAGGGTGCAGGCCCCTGCTCCCAGCTACACATGAACCACTGCTGGTTACTCTTGCCTGCAGTGCCTTCAAAGAGAAGGATCTGGACGAGGTATTCGGGCTGTCTGTATCTGATGACAGAGCATCGAACAACTGATCGATCTCGGCCTGTTCCTCAGGAAGAAACTGTGAACGAAAGCTCTGCCCCGCACGGCTCCTGCTGTTACCCATCTCTCCAGGTATCTGGCAGAATTCTCTGCAGAAGGAAAAGACGCAACGTTAGAAAAATCAAAATTTAATCATCACAGAAAATAAATATTGATAATTATATGGTCAGGTTAATACATACTGATTTAGATGCAAAGTGTAGCTAAAACATATCAGAGCTACACAGTATTGGGTTTGGGGTTTTGTTTTGTGTTGCTAAGGCGGGATCTCACTCTGCTGATCAGGCTGCAGTGCAGTGGCACCATCACAGCTCTCTGGAGCCTCAACCTCCTGGGCTCAGGCGATCCTCCCCATTCAGCCTCCTGAGTAGCTGGGACTACAAGACCACACCATGATTCCTAGCTAATTATTTTTGTCTGTCTTCTGTAGAATTGGAGTCTTGCTGTGTTGCCCAGGCTGGTCTCCACCTTCTGGCCTGAAGTGATTCTCCTGCCTTAGCCTCCCAAAGTGTTGGGATTAGAGGTGTGAAGCACTATGCCTGGCTAATACTGTTTCAATGTGGCAGAAATTAATGTTGATACAGACGAAGCTGGAAAAGCCCATCCTGACTCCCATGACCTACTGAGACACACTCATAATTGTCAAAAACTCCAAGTTTATTTCAGAACACAGTGCCCAAGCTAATATAATCAAAGGCAGAACAAAAAACAATCTGTATTTTAATTAATCTAAATATTCATTTTTTTATTTGAGATAAAGTCTCGCTCTGTAGCCCAGGCTGGAGTGCAGTGGAGCAATCTGGGCTCACTGCAACCTCTGCTTCCTGTGTTCAAGCGATTCCCCTGCCTCAGCCTCCTGAGTAACTGGGATTACAGGAGCGCACCACCACGCCCGGCTAATTTTTGTATTTTTGGTAGAGACGGGTTGGTCAGGCTGGTTCTGAACTCCTGACCTCGTGATTTACCTGCCTCAACCTCCCAAAGTGCTGGGATTATAGGCCTGAGCCACTGCGCCTGGCCTAAATAGTCACTCTTTAAAACCGGAGCTGGAAAAAACATGTATCGAAGGCTGAACAATCACATGTAGTTAAATAAACTCACCTTGAGAATACTGCTACACAGTAGTTGGGAAGCTTTTCCTTTGTGGTCCTGGCTCTGCCTCCTCCTAGCTGTGTAGTCTTAGGCAAGCTACTGAAACTCTCCCTGCCTCAGTTTCCCCATTTGTAAAGCAGCAGGAGTCACAGTTCAGCCAGCCTCAGAAGACAGCCGCGATAATCAACCAAGTCAACCAAAGCAATGGGCCGAGACGCGCCCGGCGCCAGTGGTGCCTGTATGACCCCAGCCCGCGGGCTGCATCTGTTTCAGGCACTGGAGGAGCATTAGCAGAGACTGGCACCAACGGCAGGTGACCTGGGGTCTTGTTCACTGTCACAAACCTCATTATAGGAAAAGGTCAAGTGCCAAGAAATTGGGGAACTCAAACAAAAGAGCATGGTTAGAAATGAAAAAAAAACCTCCTAAGAGGTAAGGCGCTGTGACTGTTCATTCCTGGCCCTGGACGTTTTCTGGAAACCCAGTGTCAATGAGACTGCTGGAGAGACAACCACACTCTCCCGCACAGACAACTCGATAAACAAAGTCACTGCAACAGCAAATTATCTCCCAAGGGATTCAGCCAGAGAGAGAAGGGCCATGCTGCTAGGGTGGGGCATGAGCCACGGTCCCCATCAAGACCTGACAATTCAAACCCTCAAAGGATAACAGGGTACGGTCAGGATCTCTCTTCTTTTTATTGAGATGAGATTCACCTAACATAAAATTAATCATTCTAAAGTGTGCAGTGGCATTCAGTACACTCACAATGTTGTGCGACCAGCACAGTTCCAAAACATTCTCATCACCCTCAAAGAAAATCCTCTGCCTGTGAGCCATCTCCTCTCATTCCTCCCTCCCACATCCCCTGGCAATCACCCGTCTATTTTCTGTCCCTGTGAATTTCTGTATTCTGGATGCTTCACATAAATGGAATTATATGGCTGGGCATGGTAGCTCACACCTACAATCCCAGCACTTTGGGAGGCGCGGTGGCTCACACCTGCAATCCCAGCACTTTGGGAGGCCAAGGCAAGAGAATCACTTGAGCCCAGGAGTGTGAAACCAGCCTGATCAACACAGCAAGCCCTCATCTCTACTAAAAATTTATTAAAAACGAGCCAGGCACAATGGCATGTGCTTACAGTCCTAGCTGCCCCCAATGCTGAGGTGGGAGGATGGCTTGAGCACAGGTGGTCAAGGCTGCAGTGAGCTGTCATCATGCCGCTACATTCCAGCCTGGGTAAAAGCAAGACCCCGTCTCTAAAATAATAATAATAAATGGTATTATATGATACCTAGCCTTTTGAGACTGTCTCTCTTCATTTGGCATCACGTTTTTGAGGCTCACTTATGTTGTAGCATGGGTCAGCATTCCACTCCTTTTTATGGCTCGTTAGTATTTTGTTGTATGGACGGACCACATTTTGCTTATCCATCATGAGCTGATGGACACTTCTGGCCCTTATCAACAGTGCTGCAATGAACATCTGTGTACCTGAGTCCCTCTGTTCCCATTTCCAGCACAGACACCTAGGAGTGGACATGCTGGGTCACATGGTCATTCTGTGTTTAACATTCTGAGGGCTGCCACGGCACTCCCCACGTCATACTCACATCAGCAAGGCATGAGCTTCTCGTCTCCCAACGCCGCCACTAAAGCGTGTTATTGCCCTGCCTTTTACATGCCAGCCACTCTCGCAGGGCACAGGCATTTGACAGGCTTCACTGCAAATGTACCCCCTGCACAGGAAGTCTCCAGTGGGGGGCTCCTTGGAAGCGGACAAGGGTGCACTATGCAGAGACAGGCTGGAAACCCGACCCAGCTTGGGGCTCTCCCCCACGCCCCATCTGATCTCACTGCTTCCCCTCCTCAAGTTTCACAGAAGCAGGAGAGCCAAGAAGGACAGCCTCCAGCCCAAACTCAATCTCTACTCAGTGGTGCGTCTCCAGCTCTGAAACAGAGGGGCCGCGCCAGCTGAGTCCGGGCCCTGCAGGGACACAGCCCAAGCAGCCACAACAAAGCAGACCCAGCCTCTGCATCAACTCTAAGAGGCTGCAAGGTGGGCCATACCACCTGTGCCTAAGCCCTGGGAAACAACCTTATGCAGGGCTGCATTAGGACAGGAGCCATTATAACCTGATTTCTGAACCTTCGCTGGTTCCAGAGGGGAGAGTGCAAAGCAGGGGGGAACGGGACCCTCCCGGGACCGACTCTGTAATAACACCCACCCATCACACGCCCCTGCTGGAGGCTCTGTGAAGGGTCCACAGGCCCAGGAGAAATTACAATGCAAAATGTCCACACCCACTGGGTGAAGAGCAGCAGGGACACGCGGTGGTCAGAGCTGCACTTTCAGCTCCAGCTCCCAGACGGATGGGAGAAAGGTGCGGAGCTGGGCAGGCACCAGCAGACAGGACAGGAGCCCAGAAATGCTCCGAAGCCGCGCGGCCCACGGCAGGCCCAGGGGTGCCAAGAAAGGCACGGATGCAGAGCTAGGCTCGCAACGCATTTTACAAGTAAGAGAGAGGAGGGTATGGGGGAGCCTCCAGTAGAAACCCCAGGGCTGGTGCCAATGAGGTAGGAAGATGGGCAGCCCCTAAGAACACAGCGCTGTCCACAGCACTGCCATTCCTAGTGCCTACAGAGTGCTGGTGAAGGGACACATCTCAGAACAGCTCAAGGACAGCCTGTCTCCTTTGAGAGCCCCCTGCCAGACAAGATGAAGAAACAGCAATGGTGCCAAGTGTTCCACAGTCCGTCCACCCTCGCCCCAGTCTCTTTCATCAGGCCAGACAGCTAATTAATTTGGAGGACGGCATGAAGGCCCTTGACGCATTCTTACCTCTCTCCAAACCCAAATTCCTGAACTCTCAGTCCCTGGCAAGTTTTCTCAGTGTCATGGGACTTTAAGCTGTGCGTGGCCTCGAGCCTTCTGTGGGTCTCCTTGTATCAAGTTCTCCCAAGGGACAAAGCACACTGGTGCTGAGAGCGTACATCAAGGTTGCTTGTGCCAGTGGACCTCAACTGGGGACAGGTTTGTCCTCCAGGGGACATGTGGCAAAGACTGGAAAAGTGTGGTGGTCACAACTGGGGGAGGGGAGTGCCGCTGGCATCTAGCAGGGATGCTGCTAAAAATCCTACAGTGCACAGGACGGCCTCGCGGCAAGGAAATGTCTGTCTCAGACATCAGTAGGGCTGAAGGTGAGGACGCCTGGCTTCTGAAGGTGAGGACGCCTGGCTTCTGAAGGTGAGGACGCCTGGCTTCTGAAGGTGAGGACGCCTGGCTTCCGAAGGTGTGGGCAGGGAACAAAATGGAAGCCAGGTGCAGCGGCTCAAGCCTACAATCCCAGAACTTCAAGCACATCATTTGAGGCCAGCCTGGGCAACATAGTGAGAACGCCTCTTTACCAAAAATACAAAACTTAGCCGGGTGTGGTGGCGTGTGCCTGTAGTCCCACCTATTCACGAGGCTTGGGGGGGAAGGTCGCTTGAACCTGGGAGGAGGAGGTGGCAGTGAGTCAAGATCACAACACTGCACTACAGCCTGGGTGACAAAAAAAAGACCCTGTCTCAAACAAAAAACAAAAGTTTCAGCAGCCCATAATAAGTGGCCAGCATTTTCTGTGTGGCCAGACTCTTCAGTGAGGCCCTTAGGCCCATCTGTGTACTTCTTTGTAAAATCTGGTTTTAGCAAAAAAAAAAAAACAAGAAAAAGAAAAAAGAAAAAATAAAGCAAACCACCACACCACCCATTCTTGATACCTGATCACCATTATCTCTTCGCTCCTTATCTAACCAGGTTCAACGCTTAGGTCAGGGGTATGCAATCTTTTGGCTTCCTTGGGCCACACATAAAACCCACTAACGATAAATGATAAGCTTGTGTGTGTGTGTGTGCGTGTGCATGTGCGCGCGTGTGTGTGCATGTGTGTGTATGTGTGAATGACAAAAAAAAAAAATCTCATGATGTTTTAAGAAAGTTGACGAATTTGTGTTGGATGTCTTTCAAAGCAGTCTTGGGCCACATGCAGCCCACGGATTGGACAAGCTCACCCTAGGTGATGTCTGATCACCCTGATCCGCCTTCAGTAAGAGTCTCTTTGGTCAGCTTACCCAGAACCCACCTTCCCCCCTGATGTTTCCTCAGTCATTTTCCATCTCCTGATCCCCACCCTGCTCCCCGGCTTCCCATTTGCCCATGCTATCCTCAGTGTTGAGCCAGTCTCTCTCCTTCACTACAAATTCCCATTGCTGTGGTCCCTATACCCATTGCAATGGTCTTGAATAACTAACGTGCTGCTAATAAGCATCATTAAGTCATTTCTTTAACATAAGGTTGAGAAGATGAAATAAGGTAACCCAGGGCATCCAACCTGCTTACTGAAGGTCAGACAGAATAACGGACCCAAGGCAACAGAGAGTGGCTCCTTGAGTTCTCGTCTGGGAAAAAGAAAAACTTGTCTGCTTGGAAGGAAGAGAAGGTTGTTTGCTTCAGTGCTGGAAAGTTAACAGAGGACGACTGTGCAGGATGGGACCCACGGTTCCCACTGGTATGCCTCAGTCACCTCCTACTCAGAGCTTCTCCAACAGGCAGTTACATGGGTGCTTCCCGCCCTGCCCACCAAGCCCCAACTCTCTATTCCGAGGGTCCCACAACCCTAGAGCCATGCAAGGAGCCCTCTGTATACCCACAAGCTGGGGAGATTCCAACTGCCTGATGCGGCCAGGCTTCAGGTCGTGTCTGTCTCTCAGAGCCAGGGGCCCTTAATGCGAACGCGCAGCTGGAGCCTGAGAAGGAATTCCTGCGGGCCAGAAGGAACTGCCCTGCTGACCACCTACATGGCCTGGGAAGTTATCAGCTAGCTGTCCTGGAAATGTCCAGCAGGGTGTGGTCAGAATAAGAAGGAAGACGCACTCCATACACACTTCAGTGTCTATCCTAGACCGGCCTCCTCTGCGGAGGCACCGCTCCCCTTCCACGTCTACACTGGCTCTGAATCCCCCTTCAACACGGCCGGCCTTGACCCTGGGGGAGGCACCTCCCCACCCTCTTTACCTTGACCACGTGAACAGCGGGAGGTGCAGAGTGATTCTGATTCCACCAGAAGAGCTTCCCTCCATCCCTCCCAGCCGTCCCCACCTCTCCCCTCCCGCGACCTCTCTCCTCTCCCTCCCCCGACCCAAGGGCCTGGAGAGGCAGGGGCGGCCAGGGAGGGGCGGGACCCAGGCCTACTCTGGGCTCGTCTGCTCCAGTCTCCACCTCAGCTGGGCCCACGCCTCCGGGTCTGCTCACCGAGGCCCGAGGCCTAAGCACCTACCTGGCAGGGTTTCCCGGCGCGGTTCGGTTCGGTCCGCTCCCGTGCAGCAACCCGCGTTTCTCTCAGGAGCCGCCCCTTCCCCGTTGCCTGGCAACACTTCTGACGGGCAGTTATTTGCCCCAATCGTGGAAGCGAAAGCGGAAGCCTGGGGCGGAGCCAGTGGTGACGCACCGCACAGGAAATGGGCGGAACCCGGCGGGGCGTGGCCTCGGTCTGCTGGAGGAGCGGCTGTAGTGCCTGGAATCCGGCCGGGCTGCTTGCGTTCCGAGACGTCACCAGGAGAAGGTGGCCAATGACTCAGGCCAGGCATCGCCGAGGGCCAGCAGCCGTACCTGGGGAGAAGGGGTGTCTGGGCTGGGCACTGGAGCGGAATAACCAGGGTGTGGGAGGTCCTGGGTGAGAGGCTGAGCTTGGGGTGGAGACACCCGGGGAGGAGAGTGGCCCACGTGGAGCGGAGAGGAGGCCGGAGCCTCCCTGCAGAGGCCGCTGCAGTGCAGCCTCGTGGGCCCGGACAACTCTCCCCCGACTCCCCGGCGGCGTGCTGGTCCTGGCCTGGGGCCTTGGACCGCCTCTCCTCGGGCCTCACGCCGCCGGCTGCCCCTGCCTCGCCCTTCCCTGGCGCCAGGTGCTTCCCGGCAGCCATTAGGCCCCAGCTCCACCGCCTAGCCAAATAGACTTCCTCCACCCCACGTGCTCCGCTTGAGCCCGTCCCCATTCCCTCCAAGACGTCTGAACCTGTCACCCCACTTCTTCAGCTTGTTCCTTCTCAAACCCACCAAAACCTCGTCCCAGGGGGCTGGTCACTGCATCCAAGGGGCGCTTTGGGTCCTCGCAGGCAGCGTTTGGTGTTTGGTGATCCAGCTCTTATCAGAGCTCTCTCCTGGGCACCCTGGCGCCATTCCTTGCCCTGGTTCGCTCGCTGTCCCTGGGTCCTTCCAGCTTGTGCTCTGGAGTTTTTCCGCCTCTCCCTACTCTCTCCACTCCACCCGTCCTCCCTGGGGGCCACCTTCCTGCAGATTCAGCTCCCGCATGTCCACGGTACCGCATGTCCCCGGCACGGCCTGCTGGTTTTCCAGCCTGGAAACCGTGACCCCGCCCGCCAGCGTCCACTCACTTACCAGGCATCTGCACAAGGCTGTTTTGCCAGCACCTCAAAGTCAGCCTCTTCCCTCCAAAACCGAGTTCACTTCCTTCCTCGGCGCATCATCGCCCCTTCCACAGCCTGAGTCAGAGACCAGAGTCACAGGGGACACGGCCTCCGCGCTCTCCCCCCACTTTTGAGTGCTCACATCTGACCTCCAGGATGTGCCCTCCGTCTGTGCACTCCCCTCCGTGTCCCCAGGGCCTCTGGTCCAGGCAGGAGGGCAGTCATGGCCTCCTTCCTTCCTGCAGGGACTATAAACACCCACCTGGTGAGGCAGGCAGACTGAGCTCAGGAGGTGGAGACAAGCCAGGGCAACATGGCAAAACCCCGTTCCCACAACAAATACAAAAAGTTAGCTGGGGATGGGGGTGGGGTGCACACCTGTAGTCCCAGCTACTCGAGAGACTGAGGTAGGAAGATCACCTGACCCCGGAAGGTTGAGGCTGCAGTGAGCTGTGACTGCACCGAGCTGTGACTGCACCACTGTACTTCAGCCTGGGTGACAGAGCCAGACCGTTTCTCAAAACAGCAACAACAAAAATCTACCTGACCGCTCATCAGGCTGGAATAACAGGCTCAGATAAAACCACCTGCAAATTTAACAAGGAACCCCGTTTCTCAAGGACAGCCTGCGGCAGCTATCCCATATCACAATGACCCCGTCCTTGAGGGACAACAGCTTTTCTAGTCACTGAGAACTTTGCTCTCTCAAATCTCATTTGCACTAACTTTGCTATCTGAAATCAGTAAGAAGGAAACAACCTGCCAGTCCCTGTAGGGTACAAGTCACTTGGATACCGAAGCAGCTTGGGGTTCCAACCTGGAGGAAGAACCCCACATAGTCCACTTCCGGCGCAGTATTCCCTAACTATCACGACTTGGGGGCTCCCAGAAAAAAACCGGAGTCCCTTTGCAGTCCAGCCCTCATGCTGGCTGGCCCCCTCGCACTGAGCCTTGCTCTGAGCCTCTCAGAAGGCTGCCTCGTCTATGCCTATAATTCCAGCACCTTCGAAGGCTAAGGAGGGTGGATCACCTGAGGTCTGGAGTTTGAGACCAACCTGGTAAAACCAGGTGAAACCCAGTTCCTACTTAAAATACAAAAAGCTGGGCGTGATGCTGGGCGCCTGCAATCCCAGCTACTCAGGAAGCTGAGGCAGGAGAATCGCTTGAACCTGGAGGTGGAGCTTGCATTTGAGCTGAGATGGCACTATTGCACTCCAGCCCGGGCAGCAGAACGAGACTCAAATAAAAACGGCTGCCTTATCTAAACCTCATCTGTGCTTCACCCTTCCACAAGATCCTAGGAACATTCTCTTTACCTGTGTCCCACGAGGTATTTCCTGGGGCTGCAGATGAACAAACTTACAGGGTCCAGCCCTACAGGGTCCTGTGAGCCCCTCTCTGCTGCTGTGCAGACGAGAAACGGTGGAAATAAGAGACACAAGACACTGAGAGAAAAGAGAGTTTGGGCTCAGGGGTCCACCACCAACAAAACTGCAGAGCCCTGCAGTGGCCCCGAGTGCCCGGACACTCTGACTTTTACTGAGGACAAAGCAGGGCGCAGGGAAGGTCGCGAGAGGGAATGGTGGTCGGTGAGAGGGTCAGTAAATCACGTGACTTGAAGACAGGGGGCCGGGACTTCCAAGCAGCCGAGGCCAGGAGAAAACCTAATGCGTCAGCGCTCTTCGCGTAACTGTCAGAAATATCAAGGACATTAAGATTTCGTTACTGTCACTAATTCTTATCTGCTAAGAAAAAGAACCCAGTTGCAAAAGCGGAGCGTGAGAGTGGACGTGGAGCGTGAGCCCTGAAGCGCAGCGTCACACAGGGACAGTTCAGCCCCGATGTCCGGGGGCTTCCCTGACAGCAGCCCGGCCCAACGAGAGAGCTTGGAGGAGCGGAGTGTTCCCCTAACTCCCCAGGAAGGAGACGTCTCCTTCCCTAGCTGGCTAAACAGCAGGGCTTTCCCAGCGCTGGCACTTGCCGCACTGCCGAGGCGCCCTCCAGCAGCCCTTAGCCGGCATGACAAAGGCTTAGAGCATCTTACCTTCGGGTCGCTTTGTTCACAATGTCACCTCAGTTCCATGCTTCATGTCCCAATGGTCATTAGCAAAATTAAAGGTTATATTGAGTATATATCTTTATAAATGAGTAACTGTAAGATGATAGATGATTATATAAAGGAGTAACTCTGTACTTACCTTTCTAATTCTTTTCTAAATCCCTGTTTATATGGGAACAGGCTGAGGCTTCAGACCCCTGCCATGGCACTAGCGGGGTTTCCCACACACACAAACCTGACTTCATCAGGCTACCTGCTCCATCCCAGCGGTGTCAGGCTGGTTAGGCTGGCACAATGGCAAGACCCCCGGGCATCATTTGTCCCTACAGTTTGCAGATACCTACTACGTGCCAGGCAGCGGTGACCCAGCTGTGAGCAGGAGCCCCCACCTTCCACGTGCTCCACCTCCAGCACTCACTCCCGGCTTGCCAAAGAGGTGGGCATGACAGGTACATTGAGGGGAGAAAGATGGGTAGGGAGGGGCGGCTGCGGATGAGACAAGGAGAAAATCAAGGACAGGGCAGGGTTGCGGGTGAGGCTACCAGCAAAGCAATAGGTGGGCTTTCAAGGTAGAAGCCGGAACCTCTAGGCTTGAAAAGAACTCAGGGTCCTCCAAACCTTTTCCTTTCTTGCGTCAGGAGTCTGCTGCCTTTCCAAGCCTTTTCCTATCAGAAGCCAGTACCAGCTTCCTAACACCCCTGGAAGGGAGGCAGTGCTCGCACCATGAGAGCACTGGGGTCCAGAGACGTGACTTTTCCAGGGACACACAGCTAGGGTGCAGGGCTCTTCCCCGTATGGCACGCTCCCTGCCGTGGAAGTAACCTGGTCTGATCATTCTGTAGCCCTTTCTGTGGAGTGGGAAGATGCAGCCTCTGGCTCTCAAAGACCCCACAGGGTCAGCCCACAGTGGGCACTGTACTTGCAGGGGGAACCCAAAAGGCCTCAGGGAAGAACTCATTTCAGAGCGAGTCTCGGGTGATCAGAGTACAGGCCATCCTGCAGACCAGAGGAGCCGGTTGTCGGGGACTCCATGAAGCCACCATTCTGTAAGGTGACGGCGGCACAGGGCTTCAGAGCTGGTGTGAGAAGTGGTGGGGAAGGTCTTTACCCTCTGTCTCATCCCTCTCCCTCCAACAGGTGGCCCATCTGGGTCTGGACGAACCTGAGGGCTCCCACCTCCAGGGCCGCCTGCTTCTCTCCAACTCGGTCACTAGAGTCACCAAAAATCACATTATCTCACTTCTGAAAGCCCTTCAAAGGCTTCGTGCCGTGGTTCACAAGGCCTCGCCTCATTTCTAATCCCACCTGCCGCCCGATTTCTAATGTCACCTGGGCTGCTCTCCTTTGCCCTTCTGCCAGCACGTGGAGCAAGACAGGCACTTTCTGGCTCACTCCTCCCTGGGAGGGCACCTCCAGCTTGTGGCCTGGCTCCACCCTCCTCACCCTCCAGGTCTGGGAGGCCTGGCTCCACCACCCTCGGGCCTCACCCTCCCCACCTGCTTCCCGCTCCTGTCACCCTGATCAGCTTTCCCGGCCCTGGCTTCGCTCCACCATTGTTCTCTTGTGCTGTGTTTCTTTCCTCCTCTCCCCGCACAGCCCTGGAATGCAGACTCTTAATAAACACACCCGCCAGGTTTGCCTTAACACAGAGCCAAGTGCCTGGCACCCGGTGGATGCCAATAAATAACTGTGGCAAGAAGGAAAGGATAGGGTGGCACTGTGGTGACTTCATTCCACTACAGCGGGTCTGATGATACCACAGGAGCGCCCGCACCTGCCCAGCAGAGCTCTGCCGGGAGCATGGCCATGCTATCCTGATTTGAGAACACAGGATGACAGCATCTGTCGTGTGCCCACCCAGCTGTGCTAGCCTTTGGGGTG